GCCCAGCCCCTCACGGCAGCCTCGTCCTGCACCCCCCGCCCAGGAGACACACCTGGGTTTTAAATCACAACCATCAAAACTCCCCAAAAATATATAAATAGAACCCCAAATCTGTTATCTATAACCCCAAGACAACCTCTAAACTCGTTATTCTGCAGCACATTGAGATCCCCTCACCCCCCCGCCTTGAGAGAAAGAACTGCCAGAAAAAGTTTTGACTTAAACAACATTTTTTTCCCTTTAGTTTTCATGTCGTTTTTAATTTATACAATAAAAAACCACTTTATGGCACCCGGGGGCAGCAGATCCCTGAAGCGAAGGCGACGGCCGGGGCTCCGTCAGCGCAAGAGGCACCAAAATCGGGAGGATTTGCCCCAGAAGGGCCGAGCGTGAGGCGGGGAGGGACAGGGGGGGCTTTGGCAAAGCTCGGGGGGTCCCGTGTGACCCCCACCCCTTCCCCCCATCCAGCCTTTTCTGCCGAAAAAAGCCAAGAAAAGGGAAAATCCAGCGCGGGGGTTGTGGAAGGCACTTGGAGGATCCGGTCAGGCGAACATGGTGAGCTGGAGCCACTGTGGACCAGGAGGAGGAGGAGGAGGGTGAGGAGAGGAGGGTGAACAAAGTGTGGGGAAAAGAAGAGAAGGAGGGAGAGGAGAAGGAGGAAAAAGGAGGAGGAAGAGGAGGAGAGGAGGGTGAACAAAGTGTGGGAAAATCAAGAGAAGGAGGGAGAGGAGAAGGAGGAGGAAGGGGAGGAAGAGGAGGAAGAGGAGAGGATGAACAAAATGTGGGGAAAGGAAGCGAAGGAGGAAGAGAAGGAGGAGGAAAAAGGAGGAGGAAGAGGAGGAGGAGAGGGTGAACAAAGTGTGGGAAAGGGAAGAGAAGGAGGAAGAGGAGAAGGAGGAAAAAGGAGGAGGTAGAGGAGGAAGAGGAAGGCCTCGGGTTCCCCCAGCGGTACCTGCAGCAGGTCGAAGGTGACGACGCCGTCCTGGTCCACGTCCATGGCTTGGAAAAACCCTGAGGGGAGGGAAAGGCGTTGGGATTTGAGGGGGGGGAAGTTCCATTTCTGAGGGAAAAGTGTGCTCGGGATGGGATGGGAAGGCTGGGATGGTTTGGGATCCGGTTGGGAGGGATGTTTGGGATGGTTTGGGATGGTTTTTGGGATGGTTTTTGGGATGGTTGGGATGGTTTGGAATGTTTGGGATGGTTTGGGATGGTTTTTGGGATGGTTTGGGATGGTTTGGGGTGGTTGGGATGGTTTGGGATGGTGTTTGGGATGGTTGGGATGGTTTGGGATGGTTTGGGATGGTTTTTGGGATGGTTTGGGATGGTGTTTGGGATGGTTTGGGATGGTTTTTGGGATGGTTTGGGATGGATTTGGGATGGTTTGGGATGTTTGGGATGGTTTTTGGGATCTTTGGGATGGTTTGGGATGTTTGGGATGGTTTTTGGGATGGTTTGGGATGGTTTGGGTGTTGGGATGGTTTGGGATGGTGTTTGGGATGGTTTTTGGGATCTTTGGGATGGTTTGGGATGGTCTGGGATGTTTGGGACGGTTTGGGATGGTTTTTGGGATGGTTTGGGATGGATTGGGATGTTTGGGATGGTTTGGAATGTTTGGATTTGTTTGGGATGGCTTTTGGGATGTTTGGGATGGTTTTTGGGATGGTTTTTGGGATGTTTGTGCTGGTTTTTGTGCCGTTTGGGACAGGGCTGCTCACGGAACATGGTCTCGAGGCGCACGAGGCAGCAGACGAAGCTGTCGAAGTCCAGGGCCAGGTCGGGCTCGGCGTAGCGGGTGATGAGCAGCTCGTGCAGCCGCTTGTTCAGCCGGTACCCTGGGACAGGGGGACACCCCGGGGGTCACCCGGGGGTCCCGGGGCAGGGGAGGGCCCAGGGGGGTCCCCGGGGGTCACCTGCGGCCTCCAGCGCCAGGCGCAGCTCGTAGGCGCTGATGGAGCCCGACTTGTCCAGGTCGAACTTGCGGAAAATGCTCTGGGCAGGAACAGCCCCCCCAAAAACAGGGGTCACTCAAGGGGAGAGACCCCCAAAACACCTCCAGTGCACCCCAAAACCCCCCAAAAAAACAGGGGTCACTCCTCAGGGGAGACCCCCAAAAACACCCCCAGTGTACCCCAAAACCCCTCACAAAGGGGGCGTCACCCATAAGGAGAGACCCCAAAATCTTCACCCCACACCCCAAATTCCCTCACTGCACCCCAACACCCCCCAAAAAACGGGAAAACAGCGCGGGGAGGAGAGAGACCCCAAAACAGCCCCAAAGGTGGGGGTCAGCCATGAGAGAGACCCCAAAACGCCCCCACTGAACCCCCAAACGCCGGGGGCCGCCCCCGTGCCCCCAGACCCACCAGGTAGTTGCGGATGCGGTTCCAGAGGACGTTGAACTCCACCAGCCCCAGTTTCCCGTTCCCGTCTTTCTGGGGGAGGGGGGTTAAGGAAAGGGCGGCTTGGGGACCCCCAGAG